CACACACACACACACACACACACACACACACACACACACACACGCACATACGTTCCCCTGTCTATTGATGGGGAGTGCCACCTGCTGGAAACTGGGTCCAACGTCCGATGAACATCGTGATTAAAGCACCAATCGGGACTGCCCCATACACTCTCTTCGAGTTGCCTACAGCGAAACATGACAAAACGTACATACAACATAATCACTATCGAACCCTTCCCGAACCACATAAACAAACAAACTACAGGCTGCGCACCCGTGCCCTCACGGTAAGGCAATCACTGTGCCTCCCCTCCGGTCCCCTCCCCCTATGAACATCAGCAGTCTCTGCTCAATGCCACTCTGGGAAACCAACGGCATATCTCTAGGTGGCGGGCGCCAAGCTTGCCCAGGAAAGTACATGAGGTCAATGGGGATTGAACCCAAGACCTCCTGAATGCCACTTGCGTGCCTTACCAACTGAGCTAGGCCGATGGGTACGCGCACAAACACATGGCAACATGCTGTGCATTGCATTGCTGTTGTCGGAATGTGAGAAGCTGTTGAAAAGGTCACATTTGCCCTGCTTTCGGATGCGAATTAGAAGGGAGTGGCTGTTGAGGCCGGCCCCAAACTATAGAGTGCCGACATGGCTTCTATAACCTTGTTATGCAAACCATGAGCATGGGCATCTCCTATCCACGGATGGATGTGCGTGAATGTTGTGAGTCCGGTAGTTTTTAGTTATAGTGGGCTTCGGCGTCTGCGTCAAGGTGTCGCATTTTCGGCGGCGGGTTACCAGGATGAAAGTGGGTTTTTAGGGGGCAAAAGTTAGGGTGGGACCGGTCCTTGGCAAAATTGGGGATTACCTAAAGACAGCTCTGGAATGACCGGGCCTTTCGGAAAAAGCAAGGACTGGCTCTCGGGTAGAAGCCGACCCCTAAAAGGAAGGTCCTTGGCAAAATTGGGGAGTACCTACAGGCAGCTCTGGAATGACCGGGCCTTTTGGAAAAAGCAAGGATAGGAAAGGGAATCGAGCGTTTCAGCCGTTTGAACGCCTGCTCTTAGCGAAAAGCGCCGAACGTCGGTGCGAGGACATTGGGGGGTGTGGAGGCTTTTGGAATTTGTAATTCGTAACACACTGTGAAGGTGTGAGATCTTGACACAGCAAGAGAGAGAGAGAGAGAGTACAGACTTGAAACGAAGACATAGACGCGTGTGGTAACACACCGTGAATGTGTGCGATTGAACACAGCAAGAGAGAGGAGTATGGACGTGAAACAAAGACATAGACGCGTGTGGTGAGGCACAGAGTGAGTTGACTTTGACTTCTGA